CATCATCATCATCATCATCATCATCATCATCATCATCATCATCATCATCATCAAGTACTCAAAGTAATAAGCCGTCCCCTTCACGACGGAGAGTACCGTTCTCAACGAAGACAGCCACAACCAATGAGGAAGCTCTGCAGCCGACACCAAAGTCACTGCAAAGAAGCACCTCTACTCGCCAATCAGGGAGAAGACATCAAGAAGATCTGCCCTTTGGCAACAAGCTTAAGATGGTATAAGAACTTTGAAAATGAAGAGCTCAGCCCACGTTGCCGAAGATTCGGCCATGAAAGATAGGATGTCAAACATATTTTAGAATGTCCTGGAACAATGTCAATTCGAATGGAGTTATTCGGACGAGTGGATGTGCCTCTAAGCTCGTACATTGGCAATGGAGCCGAAAAAGAGGCTTTCTCTCGTCCGAAGATTTCTTCGCGGAATCCACCAGGCCCATTCAGGAAACCAAAAAAAAAATAAATAAAAAATCAGCATCATCATGAAAGGGATTGACCCGTGGCCAGAGTGATCTCTGTGACTGACCTCTCCATGGCGAACTCGTTGAGCTTGAACCTGGCGGCTCTTGATTTCTTGATCTGATCTACGGTCCGCCAGCGGCTCAGCCGGTGAGCCAGGTCGTCTTGTTGCTGGAAGTACGAGGTCGGGATGTTTTGCCTACGGGTGAAGGTTGAGAGTGTGGTGAGGTGGAGAAAGGCGGGGAAGGGGTGGAGGGGGTGGACGGTTAGGTATGGGTAGAAGATGTATAGATGGTTAGAGGATGTGGAGATGGGGAGGGGGAATGGAGACTGGGAGAGTGTTGGGGTGGAGAAAAGGGTGAGAATGGGGAGAGGAGATAGCAGAATGGAAAGAGATTTGGAATGGGAAGAGGGGTATGGAATATGGTTAGGGGGTGGGGACATGAGGGTGGATCAAAGGACAGTTGGAGAAGGTGGTGATTCGGAGAGGGATAGTGGGGGTATAGTCAAAATGATGGTGGTAGGGGGGGCGGGAAGGGGGGTGTAAGTGAGGGTCGAGAGGTGGATTGGAGTGGGATAGGGAAAAGGGAGATAATGCAGCTGGGGAGAGGGAATGGGCAAGAAGTAAAATCAAATTCAAATTAATTAAAATGTCACATGCCGTTTTTGACCACCCAGACTGAACTGCCAAAGGTAAGAACAATGGTTTGGACACGAAACCAGGTAAGCAACACTAGCGTGTCTTTTTTATTTGGGAGGAGGGGTGGGGGCGGGTCTCGAAGAAGATGTATTATCAGAGTTGCTCTGATGTTGACTTCTGTTTACTCTTTGGCATCCGTAAACCCACAAAGTTGACAAACGGAGGTGCCCAGATATGGAACGATATATAGAACGTAGTGGTGACAGGCGTATCTAAATAGCGAACAGTTGGCTCCCAGAGGCGTCCACACGTGGAACAACATCTTGGTGAAATCGGGTGCTCGTCAAAACTAAAAAAATTGAGGGAACTGACATTTTTCTGCGCGTTGGGCAATTCTACCAACTTTTTGGGGGGCTCAACACCTTTTATGTCCATTACAAAATACTTTCTATGTATATTATTTTACTGACAAACGGCGATCAAAGACACACAAAATACCCCTTGATTTGCAGTTTCTACGGACTTTCAAGCCTTGGAAGTCATCAAAATTTAGCTGTCATTTTCTCGCTAATTCTACCCATGACACCAAGCGACCCCCACCTCCTTCACTCCCAAGTACCTCAACACCTACTCAAGATAGATGGGCAATTTTTTCATTAAAAGCAAAATAAGTGAACAAGCTTAAAGAGTATATCAGTAACGCCATAATAACATGCCCCAAAATTTACGAGCCCCCGATTCCACTGCACCATGACACATTTAACAATATTTTTATAGGTGTATCTACCTGCAGACCGCTGTGTAAAAAATAGTCCATTAAAGGTGGTCACATTGTAAGAAAAAGTATATTTTCTCGTCTTCCGATAACCTTTTAGATGCATGGTTTTCTTCTTCATCTCACATAGTCGTCTTTCAGTTTAATAGTCACACACACACACACACACACACACACACACACACACACACACACACACACACACACACACACACACACACACACACACACACACACACACACACACACACACACAGGGAGAGAGAGATAGAGAGAAAAAAAAGAGAGAGAGAGAGAGAGAGAGAGAGAGAGAGAGAGAGGGGGGGGGGAGAGGGAGAAACTTTTATGACGTACCTAATAGGGTTGCAGATAATGCGATAGGTCCACTGGGCCACCTTGGGAACACCATTCTCCTGACCGTAAAACTTGGTGGGCAGCCACGAGAAGTTCTCCAGTCGACTCTTGGTGCCTGTGTATGAGGTGAACCGAACCTGCACACAAAAACACACACATATAGACGTTCGCCGAGCACCTGCACGAATAGAGACACCCGTAACAATGAGGTACTAGTTCGTCCGTCAATGTCTGACGAAGACAATGCATCTGCAGAGGAAAATATTTCTAAAGAGGAATGGAATATTTAATGGTTAAGGTGACTTGCAGCTTCTGCTATGGCCCAGGAGACCAAGTCTGGCACGAAATAGTTTGCTCACATTTTGAACATTCAAAAACTTTACTTCCACTTGTGGATTTGCATAGCTTGTGGGGTTCTCTCTTGGTTTCAACATTTCTTCTTGGTGAAGTCTCATATGACTGCTGTTCTTCAACTAGGTTTGTTAAGAGCTAGGCTCTCCCATGTCGAAGGATTTATGATGAAGTCCTTCGGAGACATATTCTGGGGGTCTTTGTAGTGCTCTTTTGATGCGCCAACTTTACGCTTATTTGAGGACAGTTCAGAAAAGAAAAGGGTTATTGAGGTTCTGAAATCAGGCATTCTTACGAAATGGACAGCCCAACGAAGTTGAGTCCAATTCCTAGGTTCTTGACCTAGTGCACACTTCCAGGGTCATTGTTGGAGGAGTCACAGTCCGAAAGGGAGGGGGAGGGGGTAATAGCTATGTCTGAAAGGAACAGGAATAAGCGGGATGCGATCTTCGTGATGCACGAAGACATGGGGGCTATACTTTATATTTACTGTGCTTATTTACCTTGTCCTGCAAATCTTGCCAGCTTGTGGCGTCGATATGATGCCGGTCACTCTGGAAGGGTTCACTAAGGGTGTTAGTGTTCAGTGTCCAGGATCCCTCCGCCACACACAAGTTAGCCTTGAAGTAGTTGCGGTAGTCACGGTGGGTCACGTTCTGGTCCCTGAAGGCGCGGAAATACTCCTGCATCTCCGCCACTTGTTTCTGTTGAATGTGTATACGTCTGTGTATGAGTTTAATGGCCATATCAACACTATTGGATTATTTAAAAGACGGGAACTTCAAATTTAACTTTCATCTCCGGTATGATCAAGCCTATAAGGTTGAGTACCTTGAAAACTTTACAAATCGACCCGAGTTTAAGAACGCCCATACTGGGATTCCAACCAGGGACATCCGCTTCGCAGTCAAGCAGGATGCAAACTGAGTTGAAGGAACGCCTCTTTCTGTTGGTAGAAAAAAGAGCGCGTTTTGTGTTGGAGGTAGATCTACGGCGAATGGTGATGAGAAGAGAGAACAGTGTGTGGTCGTGTATAAGAGGCACGGTGTGTGATGGTGGGTAGGTAGTACAGTGATGGTGATACAAACTTAGATTTTGTGAAGGTGGTTCAACGTGGCGGCATAGGGTTTTTTTGTTATATGCATAAAAAATGCTTGCTTTAGTTGTTTTCAAGCCCTATAGAAATAGTTTGCGCAACATTCTGAAGGATTTAAAGGAAAGATTTCTTGTTGGGGTGAACTGGAACTATGGAATGCCACAGAGAGGGAGGAGAAATTCAACATAATGTTGTCCATAGAATATGGTAGGAACCAAACGAAGATGCAAAACTGTGCCCACCTTCACTTGCACTAGACTGACTTTTAGTGTTTTAGTTTTAGTAAGAGTTTTACGACATTTGCAGCACAATAAGGTCATATAAATGCCGAAGATTAGAGGTGTTACAAGAGAGTAACAAACACAAACAAGAAGGAGAGGAGATGGAGACGATAGACTTTTTAGGAAAGAAGGAGCAAACCACACCCAACCACTCACCGACTTTTTGAGAAAAATGGATATTCCGAATATGCAGGTTCAGGTTAACCCCTTCGCTGCTTGATGGTGAATTTTTGTTGTTGAAAAATATCGCCATACTTTGGACGATTTTGAAAGGGAGAGAAGACGTAAACAGTCATTTCTAAACTCGAGCAAAAGGGATAAAGCAATACATTTTTTATGACTATAAACTATCCATAGCACCATATTTTTGAAACGCAGAAATGCATATTAATTCACTCCAAGGCCTGCTTTTTAATTCTTCCAAAAAGCCAGAGAAGGTCATGGGCGTGACAATGAAAGGGTTTAACATGGACAGACAGGCAATCTCTTCGCTCACCGGGACACTACCCTGTTTGAGCACCGATGGCGGCACAGGTGGGAAGGGGATGTACTCTGTGTCTAGGTACTTGCCGCGCTTGAGTGGCATTCTCAGCTTGTAGTCATTGTGACGTGTTCTGAACTCCACTCCGTTCATCACAGCGATGAACTCACCTACAAGGGGGAGGGGGAAAGATGGGTGGGGTCGTAAATGACTTCAGTTTTCACTGGAATGTTGTAACTGTTCGCATTGTTTACTGGTGTAAAAAAAAGAAAGCACTTTGACTTTTTTAAAACATTTAGCGGAAGGAAAGCGCAAGACTGACAGACAGAAAGAAAAGATGGAAGTAAAAGGAATAGAATCTACCTGTGGCGTCCTCCAACCAACCGCATCTTGAAACTGTTTGACAGCCCATCCACACCAATTTGTGTAAATGGGGAGCTCTTGATATCTTGATAGACAAACAAAATACAGATAGCAAGATAGATAGATAGATAGATAGATAGATAGATAGATAGATAGATAGATAGATAGATAGATAGATAACCAAAAATAAATCTATTCAGACAAATAGACAGATATCCAAAGACGCTATGGTCAAGTCGACGCTGCTCACCTAGTCCGACTGTTCGGTCATAGTTGGCGTGATCGTGCATGGAGAGGGCCCCGTTACCGATATGGTTGTCTTCAAAGAACGCGCTGGTACCCTCATGGTACAGCCGCACTGCCTTGATTCCGGACGCGCCATCTGAGCGAATTCTGGGGGGAAGTAATGAGATAATAATACATAGCATTATTGTGTATGCCGCAAATTCCCGCCCAACAGCAAGCTCTATGCTCTTTGCAATCTATTTTATTACCCACAACAGGCCTGATAGCATTCTGAAATAATCTCTACTTCCTTGGAAACATACATATACAGGGGGTTAGGGGTGTGAGTGTTATAGGTGTAGTTTTTTTATATTAAGTATTTAACTTTAAGGCCATTGAGCCACATTGAATAATACCTCCATATTTTACAGAAGAGACTGCCTTGAACACAGCATAAATGACAAGCATATCAATAACATTTTAAAATCCTGTTGAAGCGTTATGGGTGGTTATTATGTGAAAGGAAAGATATATTGTTGCTGTTGTTTTTGTTGTTGCTGTTGTCATCGTAGTTAATATTGCTGTTGCCTGTTTCTACAGCAGGTTTTATTGTTGTTATCGTTGTTGCCTTCGTGGCTTTTGATAGTGATAGTACTGGCTTTAATGGTGTATCTCCTACAGCAACCGGCCGGGTACATTATTGTTCTGTACTTTATGACCATGTAGTTTGAACCGTAAAGCCCCCCCCCCCCAACCTGCCTTAAGCTACAAACAACCACGTGAAATCACCACGCAAGGTTATTCGATGGCAGATTAACATACGAAACAAAATCAATAATGCAACCATTTCATCTGAGTATTTGATCAAACTGTCTGCGTTAAGTGATCTCAAGTGAAAAAAAAAACTCCGATACATTGTGCATGATCATGTGTTTTATAGTTTTCAACTCCTTGTGGGTGAAAATTAAGGGTACATCATAATCCATGCATGCTGCATCATAGGACTCACCGAGAAAGAGACGGTGGATGGTTGGTGGGTGCTCTGGTGTGGTTTGCACATTCTTCTTGTCAAACATCTATAATCCTCATCTCTCCTCCTTCTTAACTTTGTATGTTACTCTCTAGTATCATCTCTAATCTTCGGCAGTTATATGACATGTCTGTATCAAAAGTGCCGTAAAATTCTTACTAAAATAGGAACTAAAGAAAGAGAAGGGCGACCGCGTGGTTAAATTAAACCCAGTGGCAAAAAAAAAGCTCACCTTTCCTCAAGAAAGAGCTGCGCTTGCATTATCTGGGTGTTCATCGATTTAATGATGTTCTCCAACTGCTTTTGTTTGGCATTCAAGTCCGCCAGTGTCGGCGCGGCACTTTTTGCCATGCTGATAAAACCTGCATGTATAGATCAAGGGGTAATATTGTCTAGAACTGCCTAAATTGTGTCAGTGAGCTCATGGATCATTTAATTACTATCAACCACGGCCAAGAACGGTAATAATAATAA